TTCAAGGTGCATGAATTCATGCATTGGGCTCCTAGTATCTTAACAACATTAAAATGACTATCAACTAAAATAATAAAAATATCACCCTAGCCAGTTCTGGTTCCGTGGATAGAGCATTGGCCTGCAGACAAAGGATCCTGGGATTGATTCTGGTCAAGGGAAAGCACCTTAGCTGCAAACCCCTTCCAGGCCCACCCAGGAGACAACCAATCAATGTGTTTCTCTCACATCAATGTTTCTCTCCTTCACTGTATCCTTCCCTCTTTCTCCTGCTCTCCCTAAAAGTCAATGGAAAAATATCCTCGGGTGAGGATTAACAAAAATAAAATATAAAATAATAAAAACATTAAAGTGAAAAAACTGTACGTTTATTCTTCAACAAATTTCAGAGAGGGCCCACAAGTAAGCAAGGGAGGGCCCGACCCATAGACAGACATAAAACACACCAATTCACTGTAATGTATGGACCTTATTTGGATTCTGATATTTTTTTTTTTAAAAAGACATATGACATTCACTAAGTAGTAGTAAATATAAACTTTGGCTGGGTACATGGCGAAATTAATTATTGTGAAATACATTGGGAAAATATTTGATCAACAGTGTTGTGGTTATGTTTTGGAAAACAGTACTTGGTTTGCGAGATACATAATGAAATATTTATGAGGGTGTGGGACTGGCAAGATTGGCAATGGATTGATGACTGTTGGGGCTCAGTGATGGTTAAATGAGGTTTCATTCACTATTCTGTGAATATGCCTTTATGTTTGAAGTTTTCCATTACAAAGAGTAAAAATAATTTTTAAGCCTTCCAAAAAAGAGGTAAGGCAATATAAACATATCAAACTTCTGTTATACTGAAGCAATTTTAGCCACATTTTTACCCACAATTCTTTTAGCAGGCCATTAAAATATATATTTGATTCCATCAATGCCAAACTTAACTAGAGCTCCTGATGTTTCTCGCTCACATCAGTTTCTCTCTCTTTCTCCCTCAAGAATCATTTAAAAAAGAAATCTTCTGGTGAGATTTTTTTTTTTTTTTAATTATAACCTATATGTGGGTGTCAGATAGGTACTGGATTTATTGAGAGATCACCTGGTAGTGTTTAACCACTACTACTACCCTTTATGATGTACACCTGAAAATAATATAATATTTAACATCAACAATCGAAACTCTTAAAAAGTAACTAAATTAAATAAATAAAAATTATACCAATTAAAAAAATAAATGAAACGAAATATTTCACCCATACTACAAATATATGACAAAAGTGGCATTTCAAAATAGTAGAGAAAATGGTGTTGAGACAAATGAAATATCATATTCAAAAATAAAATTCTATCACTATCTAATTCTCTAGAACAAAATAAACTACAGAAAGAATGAAATGTTAAAATAAAATTATAAAAATACCAAGAGAAAACATGGAGAAGTTTTTATAAGACATATATATATGACAAAGTCTAATTTCCTTACACTAGATCAAGTGCTCCTACAGCTAGAAGAAAAAAGAAGAGGTCAAAACTGTGACGAGAAAAATGTACTGGCACCTACCGGTAAGCCTAGTAAATTATATGGCACCTAAGCCGATTAAAAAAAAAATTCTGAGAAATATAAATTTAAAAAAAATTTGCTAAATCATTTACTGGTTAATCTACTCTACTGGTAAAGGCAAAAGGGAAAAAAGGTACTTTAACACATTATTGGTGAAAATATAGGTTGGAACTAATCTTTGTTAGTACAATTTGGCATTATCTAGCAACATTTTAAATGCACATAGCCTTTGAACTAGAAATTCTATTAGCATGAATTTATCTTACAACACCCAGAGAACAGCATGCATTCCCAAAGAAGTTCATATAAGGCTGTTCACAGCAACATTATTTAGAACAGAAAAAGCTGAGAAACAACCTAGTTAATCATCACTAAGAGGCTGATTAAATAAAATATGGCACATATGTAAATAAATGCATGCTTTAATTCATAACACTTGGCAGTTTTATCGAGAGAAAAATATTGTAATAATCCTGGAACTGTACAGAATGTTAAGATCAACTTTCATCTATGATTTTCATTCATTCAACAAATATGAGTGCTCACACTACATGTCTGTGCTCAGTATTGCAGATATAATGTCATATAATCCTCTAACTCAAGGGAAAAAAGGTGATGTAGCCCCTTTATTCAAGGAGCGTGTAGTCTATAGAAACTATAGATGAGTAAACGTACTATTATCACATACATGGTATGATATCTATCATGAGGTAAGAACAGAATGTTATGGGAACACATGAGCAAAGCAACTTAAACCTCATAATCACCATGCCAAGAAACAAAAACTCAGCAGCTTAAATGTGAAGTTATCAACTCCTCCTTCAGAGCTGAAATGACGATGAGACCCTCAGTCTGAGAAGACCTTAGCTTCGGGACAGCTGGGTCTGACCACCTTGCACATGCCTATGTCCACAAAGGTCACATTCACCCATTTAAGCACTGCTGATGAACCAGGGTTCTGTCCTTTAGAGTTCTGAATCCCTGGTGCTATCACCCTCAGGCGGACCTTTCCTAGGGTCTACATTTAGAATCAGGAACCGAAAGTCTCAAAAAGAATGTGTTATAAGAAGAGTGTATCTGCAACATTTGCTTCTACTTCATCAGAGTTTTCAAAGAATCAAGAAATATATCCATTTGGTCGGTACTTGAAGCCTGGGCTAGCAAAGTACCTTTAAAATGTGCCATTTAAATTGGAGCCTTACACCAGCAAAGTTTCAAATAAATTGTTTTTAGGTATTTTATGAAATAACTTCACCAAAACAGAGCTAATTATTGGACAATAGAAAATAAGCCCCTTTTTAGAAGTGTTTTATATAATATAGCAAGTCTTCCACGTTTACCGAGATATAGTATGAAATAGCATATTTTCTAAATACTATTCCACAGTTAGATATTTACCATAGATTATATATATGTATATTCATTACATTATTTTTAAAAGGATGAGGCAATTTGTTGGTTACTAAAAAGCACTATAAATTTGACACTGTGCTTCCTAGGAACCAATATGAAACATAATTTATCTTATCCATAAGGAGCATATACACCATTTGTTCCTAGTCAGAAAATTAAAAATAGCTTAACAGAAGAAATTATTCAGAATCTCTAAATTCATCAGCTCTATTCCTTGTTATCATTTGTTAGATAAAAATGGAAGATGGAGACTGAATAGGGTATGACATCTCTTTCTTTAGAGGCATCTTAAGATTTTAACATATATAAAACTCAAAATCTTAAAAGACCTGGTTTTTAATCTCCAAGATATAATAACCCTATACTTAAAGCAATATTAAATCCTACACAAACTTCCATTCAATTAACAACTTTGGACAGTCTCAAACTGATTTGATAAGCACCAACATTCTTTCCTTTGCATTTACATTCATAGCCTCAAAGTCCTGTCAATTCTTCTTTCATACAACCTTTTTGTACCCTAACTATAAAAATACAGATTCACAACCAATTACAGAATTCATGCTTTCCTTCTATTCTATTTTCATTTAACTAACAATGAACTAGATTAGGCGCTACTCACCTGTCTCAGAATTATCACAAAAGCTTTCTGAATATAGTTCCCCTGTTTTTCTTTCCAACCTTATCTTAGAATTTGATCACCAATTCCTTTTCTAACACTACCATCCAGGCCTCAGTTCAATAATCTCCAATGTCTAAAAGCTACTAATAAATAAGTTCATAATTTGTCTGATAAGATGAACTCTGAATCTCTAACAGACTTGGTCGTTTTACCTTCTAAAAAAATAATTCCCCAGGATGTTCTTTAAAAAAGAATTTAACTATTAATGTGGCACTCGTGAATGAAAAATTTGAAAACTACGTATTTACAGACTATGCAGGTTAGTCTCTGTAGACCTAAAACATAACTTCCAATCAATAGTACTATCTAACCAATACATGAAAACCTTCTCAAACTACTTCATTAAGTCTCATGGTAAATCTACCACAAATGCCATTGGCCTAAGACCCGGATAGGAATCCACAGGTTTCCCTTCTTTAAGACAATCAATCAATGTTGCCTTTTTTGTTTACGACTCAATGATGAGGCAGGAAGAGGCTAAACCTGTCCCCACTCACAGCCATGCCTTTTCTTCTGCAGCTGAGATCACCCGAGCAAAAAAAAAAAAAAAAAAAAAACCACAAATAGGGGGCCCCCCTCGGAACCCAGCGCCCACAGCCCATTTCGCAGGCCCGTTTGGCTGATGCCACATCGATACCCGGGCAAACTGGGCGGTGGCAGGACTTGGCCACAACTCCCCTCCCCAGATCTCCCCGCACACCACTGGGGGCGCTCTCACTCCCTGCAGCTGGGTCCATGTGGACGCTTTCCAAGGGGTCATCTCCCCACCAGCGCCAGAGGAGGGGCAGGGAGACGGAACGCGTGGGGCCACCCCGGGCCAAGGAGGGGCTAAGAATGGGGCGGGGGTTTTAGGGCTGAAGACAGACTAGCGCACTGACGGCGGCGACACTGCGCCTTTTCCCTGGGAGCAACCCAGACGGAGGGGGAGACAAAAGATGAAGACGCCAAGGCCTTTCCATCCTCACTCACCCCCAAAAGAATCCACAGCCCCCAGCTCCCGGGTACACACCCAGCCTCCACTTAGGGTGGGTGGGTGCCTAACCCCAGGGACGCAGTGAGTGGAACGGGGACCAGAGGGAAGAACCCGGGAGCGGTCGGGCGCACGTGTTCCTCCCCGACGCGCGGACAGACAATGAAGAACAAGCCCGGGCTCTGCCTCCGCCGCCCCACCCAGCTCCGGGCGGCTCCCGCGGGGCGGTGGGGGCGCCTTCCTTCTCCCCTCCTCCCCCAGGTCTGCAGACAAAGCCCCTCGGGGTGGAGAGGGGGCTCGGGGGGCGCGGCTGGGGCTGCACACAAAAGCGGGAGGGGCGCGCGGCGGGGGGAGGCGGCGGGCGCGGCACTCACCCGCGGAGCCGGAGCCGGAGCCCCTGCGCTTGGGCGCGGCCGGCGTGGAGGGGGGCGCCGCGGGGGCCGGCGCGGTGGGCGTCCAGGCGGGCTCGGCTGCGGGGCTGCTCCCGCTGGCCGGGGGCGGCGGGGGCGGCCGGGCCGGAGGCTCGTCGTCGTCGTCGTCCTCCTCGGGGAGCTTGGAGGGCGAGGCTGCGGCAGCGGAGAAGGAGGAGGGTGGGGAGGGCGCGGACGAGGGCGCGGGACTCGGGTCCCAGGACGGATGCCTCTCCGGGGCGGCAGGGGGCGCGGCCGGCAGGGGCCCCCGGGGCGCCGGGGGCACGAAGTCGTCGTCGAAGTCCAGCAGGGGCGCGGCGGGGGCGGAGGGCGCGGTGGGCACCGGGGCGGCCGACAGCGGGGCGGCGGCGGCGGGCTTCCTCTCCAGCACCTCCAGCTCCTCCAGGTCCTCGTCCTCTTCTTCCTCCTCTTCGTCCTCCTCCTCCTCTTCCTCGTCGGGGTCCGTCACGAACTGGTACTTGAACGTGGGCTGGGGCCGGGGCGGGTGGTCCGAGGACGAGGAGACCCGAGGCGACTGGTCCGCCGCGTCTTCCATGGCTGGCGGGTCGGAGAGGAGGATGCTCCTCCGAGGCGCGCGGGCTGTGGCGGCGGTGGGGGTTGGGGAGCTCGGAAAGGGGGCAGAGCCGAACGAGCCGAGGGACCTGCAGAGGCGACGGCTCCCGGAACAATGAGGCTGCCCCTCCTGCCTCCGCACCCGTGATGCGCCGCCGCCCGCCCGCCCCGTCCCCAGTTGCCGCCGCCGCCGCCGCCGCCCAGACCGGCGTAGGAGAGAGGCCAGCGGACTCTCCGCCCAGTTTGGCGCGATGCCTCCTCCCCGGCGGGCGGGGGCTGGAGCGGGACGAAGGGAGCCAATCGGCTACGGGAGAGTTGATTAAAGGACAACCAGCCGGCCCAATGGAAAGGAGAAGAGGGGAAGTGGGCGTGGCTTCGTGCGCTTTCCGCTCTCTTACCGGCTGGGTTGGGTTCGGTGGGCGGGGTTTGGAGCTGGCCGCCCCGCCCTCCACCCGTGGGTTAGTGTGGGAGAGGGGCAGGTGGGGCGGTGGTCTGGCCGCGCCCGCAGCTGCAGGGCCGCTGTGGTTCGAGGGCTGCAAACGCGGGCCAGCTGCCGGCCCCGAGCGGTGGGAGAGACTCCCGGCTCGCCACCGCCGGAAGGGCGTTATCCTGGATGGAAACTTTCCTCCCAGGAAAGGGAAAAAAAATCCAGAGTGGACAAAGGTACTAACAAACGGGACTGTACTGAAGTAGGCCCTAAAGATCGAAATATGCATTGCATTTTAAAATATTTTTTTCTTTTTTGGAAATAAAGGATTATATTGTTTTAAACTTAAATTCCCAGGCCACGTGATTGCATCACCACCTAAAAAGAAAAAAAGTAACAATTTTGACAGGGGTGAGATCTCTCCTGGTCTAAAATTGCTGACCCTGGATGAGGTAGGCAAAACGGAGCTGGGCTGGACCATCTGGGGCTGAGGAAGTCCACTCATCTCCTTCCAGGAGACTTTTTGAGAACTGGAGGATGCTGGGCTCTCTCACATGGTAGGAGGATGAGTCAGTCACCCAAAGAGAGAGGAAGGGAAGAGAAAAAAAAAAAAAAGTGGCCACAGAATGAGGCCTTGGAAGGCAAATTTGATTCCCATCACATTTCAGTCACCTTAGACTCATGAGTCAACAGTTCAGATGAGTCAGGCATTCTGGGAGCCAGTAAGCCCAGTAACTCATTTCTTAGATATGCCAGAATGAGCGTGATTCCCAGGCCACTTTTTCCCAAACCGGAAGGTGTTTAAGGAAAATGGTTACAGAACATACAAGTGTCGGCATACAGAGGTTTAGAGAACGCTTTTATCTTTCTGATATACCTTCCAAAAGGCTTTGCTGCATGCCTACCCTGCAGGCCCTGGAGAGAGAGGGAAAACCTGTTTACAAGTTGCTCACAGTCCAGGCCAAACCCCACTGTTGTGGCTGTTGAGCGCTGGAAATGTGACCAGCCTGAAATGGAGTGTGTTGTAAGTTTAAAATGCACATTATATTTTGAGTTAGTACCCGCCCCCCAATGTAACTATCTCCATTTTTATTAGTCACATGTTGGGATTGATAATATTTAAGATACATTGGGATAAGTATTATTCATTTTATTTATTTCTTTTTACTTCTTTAATGCAGCTTCTAGAACATTTTAAATACATACATGACTCACCTTATATTTCTATTGGACGGTGCTAGTCTAATTTAATGATTAAGAAACGTTGATTGCCATGGGGAGTCACTAGTTATTTAAGCACATTCTTAGCTCCAACTAATTAATATTACCCTACACTTAATTAGAATATTAAAAATGAAAGGTAGGGATTGTAAGGGGAGGGAGATGGGATGAATAGGTGGAACACAGGGGATTTTTAAGTCCATAAAACTATTTTGTATGATCCTGTGATGAAGAATATAGGACATTATGTACTTGGTAAAACTCGTATACCTGTACAACCCAAAGAGTGAACCTGTGAGTTTTAGCAAATAATACTTCAATTTGGTTCATAGATTGTAACAAATGTACTGCACCAATGTAAGATGTTAGTAATAGGGGAAACTGTGGTTGGGGGATTGGCATGGGAGTGTATGAGAACTCTGTTTTGTTTAATTTTACTGTAAAGGTACTGTATAAATAAGAAAAAAAAAGTTTGTTTTTAAGGGAAAGTATAACAAAATTTCCTGATCAGGTTAATTATCAACAATATATTCACAACCAGGCATATCAATCCCACACAAAGATGAACTTGCTTTATTTATACAAAATGGTTATGAGTTGCTTTCAGTTTTTGTTTGTGGTTTGTTGAAGGGGTTAGAATCAGTAAGAGGGAATTATTAGTGTAGAATTTGGGGGCAAAGAGGTAAAAAATTTTAAGCAAAACAGATTACCATAATGATAACTAACTAAATTGTCTCAAGTATTTGGCAAAATTATCAAAAATCATACATGATTGTCAAGTGTAAGTACATACACATAATAAAATACTAGCAAAATTTTATTATATGAACTTTTTTCTGTTAAGTCACAACTTAGCTATTAGCAGTTCAGTCTTTCCCAAACTTTTTGTCACTATGCTTGTTCTGAAAGTCCTTGATGGAAAGTTTCAAAGGGTTTTCATATGTTATTTGCAAGTTGCTCATATGATATTTCTGCATTCATATATATATATGTGAACCTGCTATTACTAAAATAATCACAAGAAATGTGATTAATTGATTTAAAGTATGTCAAAAGAATAATTACAGGAAATCATAGATTTGAAACTTTAATTGTAAATAGCAGTAAATATTGAGGCAGTAATATACACACTCTCCTCTGACATAGAATACAAGAATTTTATATTACTAATCTCAGTGGTTTCTATAAAATCAAGTGTTTGATGGATGAATAAAGAGTTTATCTAATGTTCATAGAGTGGCCAACAAAGCACAAGGAAAAGAGAATGTTGCTATTATACCAGAATTAAGAAAATCTGGTAGTGCCGAAACCGGTTTGGCTCGGTGGATAGAGCATCAGCCTGCGGACTAAAGGGCCCCAGGATCGATTCCTGTCAAGGGCATGTACCTTGGTTGCGGGCACATCCCCGGTAGGAGGTGTGCAGGAGGCAGCTGATCAATGTTTCTCTCTCATGGATGTTTCTAACTATCCCTCTCTCTTCCTCTCTGTAAAAAAATCAATAAAATATATATATTTTTTTAAAAAGAAAGAAAATCTGGTAGTATTTGAAATGATAAAAGGAAGAATATAAATTTTAGATCATAATAATAGAAAATAATTATTCAATTAATTATCTTGGAAGTTTTCTTATCAGATGTAGAAGATTGAAGTTTCCAGTACCAAGGATAATAACTGTTCTCTCTTAGAACCCTATTCAGCCTGATAGAATTTCAAAGATTCTAGGTCAGACTGACCAATCTCCCTCCCATTATAAGAATATCCTACAGAAGGTTTTTTAAACTTGGTCATCTTAGTAGATTAAAAATGACCACAGACTCTATGCAACCACTCCAATCAAGAGGTTGGAACAATTCCCCACATCTTCTAACTCAGGCTTGTGATGTTTCTTGACCAATAGAATTCCCTGGAAATGAGTTCCAAGCCCAACCAGCAGAGACATTACAGCTTCCACGCTTTTGGGATGGTAAGGCCCAAGATGATAGAGACATGGAGAGACACTTAGCTGCTCTAGCCATAGAGCTGATGTCCCAGAAATATGAGACATCTCAGACTGTCCAGCTAATACACTGAATCATGAAAAATAATGAATCACTGTTGTTTTAAACTACTACCCTTGAGATGATTCATTACACAGCAAAAGCTAATTGAAACATCACCCATTGTGTGCTTCTATTTTTGCTTTATTCATTCATTCATGAAATATTTATTGGCTACTTACTCTGCACCACGCACTGTTCAAGACTTGGGGGGGAAATCAGACGCAAATGTGCATGAGCATTTTCAGTAAAGGAAACTTACTTCTTAGGGAAATAGTGCATTCCATGTCTATAGTATCATAGCTTACTGTAGAATACTGAACTGACACCTCATCTGGTGCATATAGGACAGGTTAATTGTCCTTGCATCATGTAAACTTCCTGAAAGAGTTAAAGCATACGGTGAGTATACTTAAGTCTACATATTGAAGGGTATAGAACCAAGAGTGGGTTCAACCACAGGAGAAAGATCAGGGGCAAACTCCTGACAAATTTGTTACAAAGCTGTTTACCATAGTTCTTTTGCCTACTGAAAATGGCTTGCCCGTGAAAAAGAGCATCACTGAATTATATTTGATCTTTGTATTCAAAAAGGACAGAAACATCATTTTAGCACCCTCCAGGAAAAATTAACAACTGGCTACATCATTGTCCCTACCATTTCACTGGTATTTAGATGTCATGAAATGTACCTTTTTTGAAATGCAGTTCAGGGTCTGGTTAACATCTTGACTTATTCCAAGCTCGTTCTGTAATAAAAATAGAAATATAAATATTATAAAATCAACAATGCTAGTTATGCATTGACAATTATTGTTGGACCTAAAATTAAAAATTTGTTTCAAACAGAAATCACATATTGGGTAAGTGAAAGTCATCATTGAAATTGAACCTAGCCGAAACCGGTTTGGCTCAGTGGATAGAGCGTTGGCCTGTAGACTGAAAGGTCCCAGGTTCAATTCTGGTCAAGGTCATGTACAATGGTTGCGGGCACATCCCCAGTAGAGGGTGTGCATGAGGCAGCTTATCTATTTTTCTATCCCTCTCCCTTCCTCTCTGTAAAAAAAAAAATTAATAAAATATTTTTTTTTAAAAAAAGAAGAAATTGAACCTAATCCTTCTCCTTTAACTTGACTTGGTCCTCTGCATTAATAATGCATTTCCTGTAGGCTGAGTCAATGATTTGACCATGCACATTAGACAAGGGGGAATGAGAAGGCAGGGCGGGGCAAGGATGGGCTCCTGACTCCACTGTGGGGCAGGGTGGAGTTATCCTCCATTCTGTAACTGAACCCTAGC